CTCCGCCCCCCCCCCCGATAGTTACGTAACTTAGCAGTAGAAGCATTTTATATTATAAAATTAGGCATATATATTAATATGCAAAACATAATATACATATAAAAATAATTAAGTAACGAAAGCCTACAAAAAGTCCATAATTTATAAAATATTGAAATCAGTATATGATTAAAAACAATTAATAATTAATTGAATTATACAGGACCATATAATCAATCCCATAAAATCTATTGTATGGTATTTGAAGAAAATTGATTTCCGCGACGAAGTTTTTGCCATTGTTCCAAGTATCTCTCGGAAAATTTTCAGAGAGGCAGGAATACGATTAACGGAGCAAGTAAGTAAATAAACAAGTCATATCTCATTTCTCTTTTCTGTGAAATATTTCAATAGAATACGTTTCATACAAGTAACAAAACAATAAAAATTAATCTATCCGAAGTCCTTTCATGAATTCGACAATTGTGTCAAATTTACTTTCAATAAAAATTTGTATAAAGCATATAGATTAAATTAACTTTTTATTTCGCAGCCAAACGTTTCGGAAACAAGCCCATCTGCAACTGTAAAGGAGGTCTTGGATCGACCATCGGTTAAAGCTGTAGTTGTTGATTTTGATATCAATTGGAACTGGTCAATGCTAGCTTTGGCTATATCGTGTCTCCAACGTAAGGATGTACTGTATATAGCAGGACCAACAGACGAATGGTTTCAAGTACAAGCATTACCTCAAATTAAAGTCTTGGGTAAATATTAATAACATCGTTATTAAACAATAAAAAATATTTTCTATACAAATACTTATAATATTATTATCAATGTATAAATATAAATTCGTGATATTATCATATTATCATATACATATCCCTGTTAAAAAACGATACTTCGCATATAAACAGAAAAATAATTATATGGTATATGACATTACATACAAATTTTTTGTTACACATATGATAATATATAATAATATAATACAAAATATTCAATTAATATATATAAGAATTTTAAGAGTTCTTTCATTTCAATGTAAAACGTTTTCTATTGATTTACATGCATACTTTATGTTCCGTAAAATCGAGCAATTATAAAATATGCTTTTAGTTAATTTTTTTTTACATAGAAATAAGTCACAAATATATGACCTATATGTATTTTTTAAATATCTAAACAAATCATGATTTTATCAATGATTTGATAAAGTATAATGTTTCCGAGAAATGAAGAAGTGTTACTTTAAGACCCAGTTTTTCATTATCTGATTAATTTGTGTAACTACATTTCCATTCGGTGAATATCTCCGAATTGAATTGACGGATTGCAAAAAAAATTGTTTTTACAGAATTAAAGTACGCACAAACAGGACCTCAGCTGTATCGGATTTTAGGAAAAAATCGAAGAAAAGTTTAAAAATTCGCTTACTTTTAGCTCGTACAGCTGACACCTCAGGTCTATATTTGCTTCATACAAGAGTTTTATAGTTTATATCTTGAAAATAAGCATAGGTCTGAGGTCACATTATTGTAACCTCGTTACCGAACGATACCAAGTTTATACAACTAAGATTGAAAGTCTAGAAGGAAAGTAATCCTATCGAATAGAAAATACGTATATACGGGTACTTTGCAAAGACTGGGATTGTCAACAGAGTCGAAATTCTGTGTAGTAATAGTTGCGCGGTCTTGCGATAAATGGTGCTGGCATATGTTAGATAAGGACAGATGTATGCGTTTAAGTGAGATAGAACGATATATAATATAATGTAAGAAATGAATCAAAGATGTCACTATTATCGAATTTGGAATTAAAAAAGCTGCACCATCGACCTCGATCAAATTCGGTAATCGGTTTAGGATCCCCTTAAGGGGATGTTGGAGTGGCCAAATTATCAGTATTTTGCAGTATAATATAAATCTGCCAATTTACTGAACGGAATCAAAAATCCTTTTACAGGATTAAAATAGACGCAAAATTTGGGAGTGCTGCAATAGACCTTATACTAAAATCGGGAGGAAAGTTAAAAACTTATATTTTTTCAACTCGTGGAGCTGTTCACCTGATGTAGATATTTTCTTATTGCAAAAGTTTTATAGCTCGTATGAACCAAACGATAGTGCAACACTCAACGCATTACGTGCACAAACAATACCGAATTTATGAAACTAAGATTAAAAGCTTCAAAAGAAAGATTTATATCAATCTGCAAATGACGTGTATACGAACGCTGAGCGAAGACTCGGAACAGTAAACAAAGCAATAATTGTGTCTAGTAGTAAGTGTTCGATCTTCTAAGAGATGGCGTTGTAATATATTAGATAAGGATAGATGAATGCGTTTGAACGAGACACAACGATATATAATAATTTAATAAGTATAAAAAATGAATGGAAGATGCCATTACTACCGAATTTGGAATAGTTTTATCGGTAATACAGACGACTCTAGCATCACCTTCAGGGGCTATCTGTCGCTGTTTTTCCGGCGCATCGACATGTCTTTATACCTACCACACCAATATCTCACGCAACCTATGATACACGCAGTCACACGTTCGTGTCAATTTTTGTATAACAAATTCGTCACGATAAAGCGTCTAATGCCCAATTTCTTCACCTCTAGATAATTTTATCCAAGAGATATCTCCCAGAATATAATGGAGATATCTCCTGCATAAGGTTATCCACAATTTATCTGGAAGTGAAGAAATTGGGCATAAGTCTAATTCTAAGTTATTTGTTTGTGCAAACTACGTGTTTGTGGATCACTATTTCGTAAGTACAGGTTGCAAAACTTTCGTATCAAACAAATATTGTCACGACTTGACAGCTTGAGACGTCATGTTACACTAAGAAATGGTAAAAAATATCAATTTCGAAATTTTTGGTCGTTCTCGGTATAAACTCCACCTCATAAACACGTATTAATGCGTATACTTCAATCCTGGAAAATGATTTTCGAATCTGTGAAAGAGAAAAAAGTATTTGTTATATAAAAATTATATGATTTAATCGGTAATACAGATGGCTTTAGGATCCCCTTAATCTGATGTTTTATCCAATAGGTTTCATCTGTGATGAATGTTAAAGACAAAGTTTATTGGATAATAAATTAGATTACGCCTAATCACAAGTTAACCAGATAATGAAAAACCGGGCCTAGGAGATTTATATCAGTATCGCTATTTACATTTTCCCCTATTTACATTAAAATTTTTTTTAATTGATACACACGTATAAAGAGAGAAAAAATATTATTTTCTCATCATCAGGTCCTGGACCATTGCTGAACGTTATCAGTGCGCAGAGTGGAAGAGAGCCGATTTCATGTGCTAAACCTAGTCAAATCTTAAAAGATTATGTTTTAGATAAATGCAACGTGACGAATCTAAAAAAATGTTTATTCATTGGTGACACGTAAGTAAAATTGTAAAATATACTTCTGTTTACCTTAAAATATGTTTATAATTATATAATCAGACACTACAATCACAATAATAACCAGTAGGGAACCACTCCACGAAAAAATGCACACTGTACAGGTATCGCCGTGTAGCTTATGTTTTGGGCTAGAATAAAATGTCAGACAACAAGAGCGAATACCCCCTGGTGAAAAAATTTCGGTAAAATTATTCCATGTTTTGGAACATTCAGTGAAATTGTTGAAAATTTGCTGAAATTTCACTGAAAGTGAATTTTTCAGCTAACATACTGAAAAATTGAAACTGAACTGAAATTACTTTGAAATTTCTCTAAAATTTCGTTGAAATTGTCTGAAATTTTTGCTGAAATTTTTGCTGAATTTTTCTGAAATTTTACTAAAAGTAAATTTTTCAGTTAAAAATCGCTGAAATTAAACTAAAATTTTTCTGAAATATTAAAATTTTGCCGAAAAGTTCCAAAACGTGGAATAATTTCAGCGAAATTTTTCCACTAGGGTATGTATACATGAGGACATAAATATCTGGCCATGTCATTTTATGATTTTTCATTCATTCTCATACCTTCTTCTCATTCCTTCTCCTATACGGCTGCAAGTTCGGATGGCTATAGACATTTGTCTCCGTATCACAAACAATTTTACAAGAGTCTCTGTTGAGATAAGATACTTTCTTCTAACGTCAGACAGTTCCACTTCGGACCACAATATCATAATTAATTCCGATACAATGACGAAACCTTATATTTATTGAATTCACGAATATCCAAAGCTTTGTTGCTTGGAGTCCGTTAAGCGTCCACTTCAGACTTGGAAATCTGTAGAATGACGGACTACCAAGTTATTCTGATTTGATGGCTGAGAAAGACTCTAAAGAGAGTCGAAACGTTCAATACTTAGAATAAAGAAGACATCACGAAAAACTGGAGTTAAGTCATCTTTCCACGTTAATATTGTGCAACTCCTGCCGCGCTGACTCTTATTAGCCTTGAATCGGTTATTTTTATTATACTTTCTTCTATTCAACTCTGACATTTTTTTTTTTTTTTTTTTTTTTGAGATAATGAATGATCATTACATTGAGATCAAAGGGACTGATATGAAGTGTTCCTACTGGTTATACTGTGTCAAACTACAGTCATGTGCATCTATAAAATTATCTTATTTGAATATTTTATCGATTCGGAAATATAAATGTAGGGTAAATCAAGATATGAAGTTTGCCTCAATGTGCGGATTCATAAAACTTTTTGTCGGTACGGGATGTGATACATTGGAGCAGGCACAAAAAGAAGACGATACCTGTCCGGACTATTATCTTCCTAGCTTAGGTCAACTATTTTCCGACTTAACAATCCAAAATGTCAACGTATCGTCAATCACAAAGATAGTCGATAATTCATGCTCAGATAGGGAAGAAATTAATAATTAATGATAAATATCATTCGCTCAAATTGATAATGCTAATTATAAGTAATTATTACGTATTAGTTAGTATGTTGGAACATAATTAATTATATCACAAATCGCATTTTAAATAATTTTTCGATCAATTTTATACATATATATATAATAGACATTAGAATATTTCGTACTAAATTTTGTAAAGTAAAAACTATTACACCAAATAGATAAATTTTATCTTTTCCGACTTTTATAGTTATTAATATAATTATTAATGATTATTTTCAAATGCACGGTCCAGTAAGATTTTTATTGTTTATATTACGTCGCCAGAAAGAAAGACGTTGTTTCCATACATACACTGATTATTGCGAAAAATATTACTAAGGTCTAAAGGCTTAGGACGCTCATACGGAATACAAAAGATCCGGATTCGACTCCCGGCCGAGGTAATATTTTTGGCAATAAATTTATTTACAGCATATTAACATCTTTTTAACAAGATGCCTGAATGAGCATCAAATTATTAAAAATAGCTTGTCAATTTAATTTAATTTGTGATATTATTCTAGTAGTTTAATTGCGTTTATAAACCCGAAAAACCAATTTGGCGCGCAGTTCGAATGACTACAAATATGGTATATATGTTTGCACACATATAGTATTAGGTGTACAAAAAAGTTCTGAGCTTTAGATTTCATACAACCAAAATAACAATTTAAATTTTATATATCTTTCCGCCCTTTTGCGGTTTTAAAGCGTTAACATTTGGCCTTCTAAAATGCCATACGGTTTGGCGTTTGATGCACATAACCTCAAAAATCAGTAGTGTTCACGATGGCAAAAGAGCATATTCGATTTTCCGTCCACTTCGCGTTTCATCTGAAGAAAAATGCTGCTGAAGCCACTGCAATGATTTGTGCTGCATATGGAGAGAACGCTGTAAGTCATGCTACATGTAAAAGATGGTATCAAAAGTTTCGCCAAGGAGATTTCAGTCTTAAAGATGAATCGCGTGCTGGACGCTCTGAAAAGATTGAAACGGACGAATTGCAAGCACTGCTGGATATAAACTCTGCGCAAACCGAAAAGGAGCTTGCAGAACAGCTTAGCGTTACGCAGCAAGCCATTTCCGTACGATTACGTACGATGGGAAAGGTT